TTCCTGTTTCTGACTTCTTTTCTTCCTTCTTAAAGTGACTGTATTTGGGCCTAAAGAAACCTGTGTAACACAGAACACGCAGAGAGTCGTGGAGACTAAGAAAATAAGTTGGAGCAAAAGTACAGCGGAACTCTTTATTGCGAAAGTTTAAGACGTAAGGTGTGTGTGCTTTAACATGTAGTCGTGGCCGAGTGGTTAAGGCGATGGACTAGAAATCCATTGGGTCTCCCCGCGCAGGTTCGAATCCTGCCGACTACGATGCTTTCTTTCCTTTTCCTGAAATCGTCTTTGCTTAAATAGTCAAAAAACTTCTTCCGTTTTAGGCAAGCATCTTTGAATACCTTGTGGTGCCGGACAGGTGTTTTGTTACTCCTTACTTTCCACGCAGCGCTCATCAACTACAGTCAAACCACTATACGTATCTATTACTGAAGACTAGGGAGTTTTCCCTCCTCTAAAAATGCTGTAGGTTACGGCTTGTATAAGCTTCCCTGAAATAGTAAGAAAAAATTGTGTTTCTCACAAAGAGTGTATTGGTGAATTGCAGGCATACTGCTTAAGGTAATTGTCATGCATGTCCGTGTAGAATTAAGTAGAAACGTGCTAGTTTAAACTGGCTGGTTATGGGAGGGTAACCTTCCCCCCCCTCCATTTATTGAGATCAAGAATGGTCATTACTAACTCCTCGTTAGTATAGTGGTAAGTATCCCCGCCTGTCACGCGGGAGACCGGGGTTCGATTCCCCGACGGGGAGATGATTGGCTTTTATAACTCATAAGTGCATTCACATTACAAATTGTTGTGAACCAGAAACAATTGAGGATATTTTTTTTCCAATAGGCTTCAACAGATGGATAAAAAGTTCCCTGCCATGTGTTTCTCCTGGGAATTTTTTTTTAATATGCTGTTATGGTCTGTGTCCTTTTTAACTGTTGGTTTGCTGGGTTTTTTATTGCATTCTGTACATCATGTTGAAGGTGATATATAAACAAACAAACAAACAAACAAACACAAACGTGAAATGCTACATTTGTATAGTGTGATGCCATCTTCAAAGCCCCTTTTAAAATTGCTTTTGCCACTTGAAATCTCTAGTTTCCTTTCTATGGGGCAGTGTCATGTTTAATTGCATGAAAGTATACGCAGGTGGCGCAGAGCCTAGGCCTTGCCGGTCAGAAGGTTGGCGGTTCAAATCCCTGCGATGGGGTGAGCTCCCGTTGCTCGGTCCCAGCTCCTGCCCACCTAGCAGTTCGAAAGCACGTCAAAGTGCAAGTAGATAAATAGGTACCGCTCTGGCGGGAAGGTGAAGGGCGTTTCCGTGCGCTGCTCTTGTTCGCCAGAAGCGGCTTAGTCATGCTGGACACAAGACCCGGAAGCTGTATGCCGACTCCCTCAGCCAATAAAGCGAGATGAGCGCAGCAACCCCAGAGCTGGTCACTACTGGACCTAATGGTCAGGGGTCCCTTTACCTTTACCTTTATACCATCGGAAAATATCACCTTAGCACAACTGCATTCCAACAAAAATGTAGGGTGTAGAATGCTGGCTGTTACTAGAATAAGGGGTCATCGTATGGCAAGATCTGCCAGGATCAGCAGTTTAGCATGCAATGAATCTGCAGCTCAGTCAGCATTAAATCCCCAACCCTGGCCCCAAGATGCATTGTAGGGACTGGTGAAAGTCCCCCAAAAGAGTTTTTGTTTTAATTTTTATTGTGTTAAAAAATAGATTACAAACATAAAGTCCAAAACAAAGCAGAACAAACAAGACAAAGCAAAACAAAACAAAACAAAAAAGAAAAATCACACCTACAAAGAAAACCATATCATCATATTAATCGTTAGGTACATATACACGTATTGACTCCTTCCTTTATTCTGAGACCTCATACTTTTTAATCTTTCTGTATTGTTGTGTCTAGTGTAGATTACCTCTGTCTTTATACCTCTTGCACCATTTCTTTAACCCTGCAAAGCTTCATTCATTACATACTGCTATACAGTGCTACCTCGGGTTACATACGCTTCAGGTTACATACGCTTCAGGTTACAGACTCTGCTAACCCAGAAATAGTACCTCGGGTTAAGAACTTTGCTTCAGGATGAGAACAGAAATTGTGCTCCGGTGGCGTGGCAGCAGCAGGAGGCCCCATTAGCTAAAGTGGTGCTTCAGGTTAAAAACAGTTTCAGGTTAAGAACAGTCCTCCGGAATGAATTAAGTACGTAACCAGAGGTACCACTGTACTTACTCCAGGACAATGTTTTTTCATATATTCTTTAGCACAATCCCATTCTTTTACTAATTTTTGATCCAATTGTCCCCTTAAGAATGCTGTGAATCTTGCCAAATATATATATTCACAAAATTTGATTTGCCATTCTTTTATTGATGGGATTTTTCCCCCTTTCCAATTTTTTGCAATGAGCATCCTGGCAGCTGTTGTTGCATAGAGGAATACTTTTCTTTGGATGCCAGGAATATTGTTTGTGATTATACCTAAAAGGAATGCTTCCAGTTTTTTACTAAAATATATTTTGAACATCTTTTTGATTTCCTCATATATTTCATTCCAAAATTTATAAATAGGTCAGCATTCCCACCACATGTGAAACATTGTTCCTATTTCTTTCTTGCATCTCCAACAGGTATTTGATTTTAATTTGTAAAATTTGGCCAATTTTACTGGATGTACCATTGGTACATCGTTTTCATCAAATTTTCTCTAATTGTATAACATGCCATAATATCGCATTTCTATAATTTCTCCCATTGGTCCAGCCTAATTGTATAACTTTAACTCCCGTTCTAAGAATAGATTATACATTGTGGATATGCTTTTTTTTTGTTTGTTTTTTGTAATAATGCTTTCTGTAATTTTAATTCTTCTTTTTGAAATCCTATTATTTTGTCCTGATTAAATATTTGGGCAATTTGGTGATATTGTAACCATGTGGTGCAGTATTGGGTCACCTCTTTGTATGGTCTTAGTTTTAATTGGCCCTGTTCCTCCTTTAGGAACTGCTGGTATGTCGCCAATCTTCCTGTCATATTTTTCTTTTTGACGGATATTACTTTTAAAGGTGATACCTACCATGGGTTTTCGGTTCTAACAGCCTTCTAAGTCTCACCCAGAACTTATATAGCGAGTTTTTAATTGCATGGTTTACAAATCCTTTATGAACCGCCACCTTACTGTAAATTAGATAGGCAGAGTTTTTCTGAGGTGTGGTTGACACAGGAAGGTGGGGGATTTAGGCTGAATCCTCAGTCTATTCAGTTTACCCACATAATTTGGCAACCCCGCATAAAGGACTTCTTTTCCCTCTGCCAGGCTTAGGCTGAGCAGCCACTGAAATGCCCAACAGGGTTTGGATCGGGTGTAACGAGGGACTTTCTATTTTTTGTAACTGATTTGGAACATTAGTTTGAAGAGCCCGGGTAGCTCAGTCGGTAGAGCATCAGACTTTTAATCTGAGGGTCCAGGGTTCAAGTCCCTGCTCGGGCGTTTGTAATTTTTCTTCTACCCTATGCCTCTTCATACATCTTTTAAAATTACTTTCTTCCACTAGTTAATGGCAAACGAGTGACATCACGTTGGTATTCTACACTTCCTGATCATATGAAGCTTATATCAAGCTTATAATATCAAGAACAAACTTAGTTGGTCTCTAAGGTGCTACTGGACGATTTTTTGATTTTTTATATACCCTATATTTCGACTGAGTCTGACCAGCAGGGTTACCTACCTGAATCTAATCATGTCATGGTTCGTTTGTTTTGAAGCCATTCAAAATAACACAGACAGCATAATACGTTGCACAATACGTTTTATCTGTGGAAGAAACTACCTATCAACGTGTATGTGGGATGTTCTAATATATGGCAGCATTTCTGATGAGGGTCTGTGATCTCAAGACTGAAGTTTCAGCTTTACATTTTCTAAGAATGCGCACATGGGTCTGTGCTTCTGATTTATCAAAAGTTGAAGCAACAAAAACACTATACCGACGAAGGTGGGATTCGAACCCACGCGTGCAAAGCACAATGGATTAGCAGTCCATCGCCTTAACCACTCGGCCACCTCGTCAAGCACAAAATGAATGTTTTTAACTCCGGTACTTAAAAAGTGCTTCAATACTCCACTTCAAAAGGATGTAGTTTTTTGCAGTGTGCTTTTAAGGTGGTTTCGTATTGAATAAACGCGGTAGGATTACAATGTAACTTGCATATTTTCCAGAACATAGTCAATGAAATTGAGCGGATTTTATAAGAATTATGAACGGTGAGGTTTATTAGACATAAAGCTGCTTAACTAATGTATCAAAAAGCCTTTTGAATCTAAAAGCCCGACTTTAAATGTTACACAAACCTAGCCCTCGCCATCTTGAAAGAAGCAGCCTTCTCTAGGGGTGGTGGACGAGGAATGGCCCTGCTCTGATGGTGCCCAAATCAAACAAATGCATCCTCCCCTTGGGAGCCTGTTAAGCACTCAACTTCAACTCAACACGATTAATCGAGTAATTTGTGGCTTTCTGAATGCAGTCCTACTGTAAACAGCACCTCTAAACTTCTTCAATCTTAATTATTTGGGGAAGGTGGGGTGTATTATTCAGTTAGGATAAGCAGCATAAAAACAAGACTATTTATACAATGAAATAGCGAAGCATATTTCAATCCCATTTAATTCCAGAGGGTGGGATTAGCATTTTCCTTAACAAGTAAAAGGCTAAAGCCATCGCCAGCTGAACAGGATGCATTCCCTTTTCGGGGCTTCCCAGCTTCATTTTAGAAAGAGCCTTTAAGTACCAAATTTCCCATTCCCATGGTCATTTTCTTAGTTTGTATCTTTTTGTTACCTTCCTAGTTAGTTTCCCTTACTAACATACGACGTACCGGAAAGCTGCAAGGGGTAATTTAGCATCGTGCGAGCTCTTTTCCAAGACCATGTGGTGGCTCTTAAAAGAGCCTTTGTGGTGCAACAAGGTTCGTGTACTGGGGACGCGGGCGGGCGCTTCTCAGGCCCTCTCTCCGCGGATGCGCCTGGCGAGCTGGATGTCCTTGGGCATGATGGTGACGCGCTTGGCGTGGATGGCGCACAGGTTGGTGTCCTCGAACAGGCCCACCAGGTAAGCCTCGCTCGCCTCCTGCAGAGCCATCACGGCCGAGCTCTGGAAGCGCAGGTCCGTCTTGAAGTCCTGCGCGATCTCGCGCACCAGGCGCTGGAAAGGCAGCTTGCGGATCAGCAGCTCCGTCGACTTCTGGTAGCGGCGGATCTCGCGCAGCGCCACGGTGCCCGGCCGGTAGCGGTGAGGCTTCTTCACGCCGCCCGTGGCCGGCGCGCTCTTGCGGGCGGCTTTGGTCGCCAGCTGCTTGCGAGGCGCCTTCCCGCCAGTCGACTTGCGAGCTGTCTGCTTCGTACGGGCCATTGCTCCCAAAAGAAGTATAAAAAACTACCCAAAACGCCGCAAGTCCCCCACAGACGAAACAACAGATAAAGTAAAGCGAAAGTTCCATGGCCGGATATTTATAGGCAGCTGGCTGCCCGCTGATTGGCTGGAAGAGATGAATGGAACCGTTGCAGAGTTCGAATTTCCCAAACTATGCAGGGATTGGGCAGGATTTCAAAACCACCCCGCCCCTTCTAATGACTACATTTTGTCTCCTAACTAACCATTCAGCCTTGCTATTTTGTGAAATGGGTCTCCGCCCCCACTTTAAACAAAAACCGGTCTTTGCTTTACAAGGAAGCCCTCCATAAGGCGGATGGCAAATCTATTTCTGCACATAGAAGCATTCTGGTAGATGGTTACAGTTTACAGAACAGACACAGACAAATCTTTGCCTCACCCCCACCACCCAAGTTGATTACGGTCCTAAATTTAGACGGGGCGGGAAGGAAACCAGAGTAACCAATCAGTGCAGAGAGAGAAGCAATAGAAGAAGCAAGGTCAGCAATCAGGAATGTGATGTCTTTGTAGTTCGTGGCAAATATCAGAAACCTGTAGGTCCCTAGTCTAGTACCAGCACCATTTCTTTCCACTTTGTACTGTGAAAGAGTAATCATTGTTCAAAAGCTGTGGCTTCTTTCCTTTCAACAGTGAGAGACACAAACAACTGACCCTCTTGGATAGCATACCTCTTATCTTTCACAATACTGATGATTCATAGAATTGTAGAGCTTGAAGGGACTCTAAGGGTCATCCAGTCCAACCCCCTAAAACGCAGGTGAATAATCCCTGGAGGATGGCTATCCATGAGTCTTGAACTTAAGAAAAACCCTGCTAGAGCAAACTGAACTTCCATCTACCTACGCCCTACGGTGTAATCCTATTCACAAGAAGCTGGTGTAAAGTTAAGTGAAGCAAGGGCAAAGCACACCACAACCAGACTCCATTCTGGAGCAAGGATGCTGCTAGCTGCGCTGGCCTAAGCCTGCCAGAAGGAAAACAAGCCTTTAAAATAGTGCTTGAGCCACACCACTATTTTTGCTGCCTTAATTTACATGGTGTTGCCAGGTCATGTGACTGAGATGTGCTGGTTTAGGATCTTGCCTGGATTCCTTGTTTTCATTGGTTTAAAGTGTCATTATACTGGCCCATTTTCAGTCCTATGGTATGGAGGCTCATCTTAGGGGAAAACAAATGTATCTTTGTTAGAAGATGAGCAATTTCATATTTGAGTTCTTTGAGAACTTTTGGCTGGATGGTAATTTCTTGGTGTGTCCCCCCCCCCCCAAATCTACCAGAAAAGTAAATGGTCTTGTCACCACTATTTGCCTCAGTACTTCAGATACCTCTTCCTGCAAAAGTTGGTAAAGGCAGAGGTATCTGACCTGTGCCTCTCTCAGTGGAGACTGGAGCACAGAAAAACATTCAGCTTGTCTGCAATTTCCTTCTCAAGCTGCAGTTCTCTATAGGTGGTTTCCTGATTATAGACACACACACACACATATACAATTCTCCAAAAAGTGATGCCAGACTTTATTGTGTTCTTGCATTTGTTTGGGTAGATATTGTTCTTGTCCTTTTGGCAAAATAAATAAATTAAACTCTGAAGGAAACCTTCCTCATCAATAATTTATTGATGAGCAACAGGTGTGGGGAACCTTTTTCAGCCTGAGGGCTTCTTCATTTCCTTGTGGACAACTTCTGGGTGGCCACATGCCATGGATGTAGAGCACCAGAGGCAAAACTAGACAGAGGAACAAATGTGAATGTTACCTTTAACAGAGCCCTAAATTCCACACCCACTAGCACAACACTCTGGCCTACATCCACTCAAGCAGGAAGCGCAACTCATTCCAGCAAGGCCAAAACACTCACAAAGGGTGCAAAACAGATCCCAAAGGGTACTGTATTTACTGGGGTAAAGTCTCCAGGGCCAGAAAGAGATGCCTCCCTAGAGGACTGCTTTTGGTCACTATGCTCAAGGTGCTCTATCCTTATGCACTGAATACGTTTAACTTTCTATCATTGCAGTTTTGGATAGCCACTCCCCACCCTCAATGTTCTGGAGACATTTTAACCCGTTCTTTCCCGTTTAGCTTTTACTTGAGTAAACACGTTTGGGTTACACAAATAGGGTTAGCATGTCGTTGAAGTACAGCATGCCTTAGTCAAGATTGCAAGATAAATATCAACCTAGCAATTACGTAACCTTTGATAGGCTGTTTGGCTCTGATGTGATGTGCATATTCTTAAAATGTGCTTGAGAACTAACAAAGAAATATTAGAATCGGTTACTTATACTAGAGATAACTAGCTCTTTCGCTGAAGTTGTGGGTGGCTCTTAAAAGAGCCTTTGGATTTTGGGATTCCTTGTTGAGAAGAGCTTCACTTGCTCTTAGCTTTGTGGCTCTCGGTTTTCTTGGGCAACAGCACAGCCTGGATGTTGGGGAGAACGCCTCCTTGAGCAATGGTGACTTTGCCCAGCAGCTTGTTCAGCTCCTCGTCGTTGCGGATGGCGAGCTGCAAGTGGCGAGGGATGATCCTGGTCTTCTTGTTGTCCCGGGCAGCGTTGCCGGCCAACTCCAGGATCTCGGCAGTCAGGTACTCCAGCACAGCAGCCAAGTAGACGGGCGCTCCGGCCCCGACGCGCTCTGCGTAGTTCCCTTTGCGCAGAAGACGGTGCACACGACCCACAGGGAACTGGAGCCCGGCACGAGAAGAGCGAGTCTTGGCCTTAGCCCTGACTTTTCCACCTTGTTTGCCGCGACCAGACATTTTTTCTTCCTTATGTTCAGCTGCTGCTTCACTGCCAAAGCTCGAGTAAGAATAGTTCTGAAGCAGCTTCTTCCTCGATATTTATCTGTGCCGCCGGCTTGTAATTGTGAATTCCTATTGGGTAGTGCTTTAAAACCATGTGACTTAACTAGCGAATGGGAATCGCGAGTCTTTTCCTTTAATCCATTGGTTGGGCAGGTCGGAGCTTATCCAATCAGATCAAAGGAAGTAGCAGCTTGAAATTTGAAGTGGGCGCCTTAAAATGAGAAGATGCGATTGGGTAGCTTCTAGTTGTTAACCAATAAGAAACATTGAAGCTGAATATGCTAATTGCATCCTGCTGCTATAAATTGAATGGTCTGCACACACGCTGCGTACCATTTCTTTGCAGCTGAAAGGGAAATAGGTGCTTTTACAATGCCGGAACCAGCGAAATCCGCTCCCGCGGCCAAGAAGGGCTCCAAGAAGGCAGTCACCAAGACCCAGAAGAAGGGCGACAAGAAGCGCAAGAAGAGCCGCAAGGAGAGTTACTCCATCTACGTCTACAAGGTGCTCAAGCAGGTCCACCCGGACACGGGCATCTCCTCCAAGGCCATGAGCATCATGAACTCCTTCGTCAACGACATCTTCGAGCGCATCGCGGCCGAGGCTTCCCGCCTGGCGCACTACAACAAGCGCTCCACCATCACCTCCCGGGAGATCCAGACCGCCGTGAGGCTCCTGCTGCCCGGAGAGCTGGCGAAGCACGCTGTCTCCGAGGGCACCAAGGCCGTCACCAAGTACACCAGCTCGAAGTAATTTTGACTCTCCCAAATACTTACTCAACCCAAAGGCTCTTTTAAGAGCCGCTTAACTTGTCAAAAAGAGGGCTTTGATCATTACGTTCATTTATCACAAAAAAAAATTGCGCGGGTTTTCTGTTACAACATTATGCTTAGTTTGCCTTAGTCCAGAAGCAATGCAGCCACCCCTGTTTAGTAACTTGTCCTATACACTTCTTGGAAAGTCCTAGAATGTAGTAGTATAATTTATGCAACCCCACCTTGCACCCTAAAGTTGGAGGGATATCCTGTAATGAGTCCGCTGGGAGATTATTTTCTCCGCAATTTAATCTTCCGCCTTTTTGATACTTGACTAGTGCCATCTTGCGGATTTTTCTAAGATAAATGCGAACTTAACCCTTTTTCTTTATGATGTCATATATTTGGCATTATGTCATACATTTGGCAAGAGGGCCGGTTAGCTCAGTTGGTTAGAGCGTGGTGCTAATAACGCCAAGGTCGCGGGTTCGATCCCCGTACGGGCCATCGTTCTTGTTTACTTAATTTTTTTTGTTATGCTATAGTATTTCATCTGGAACTCAACTTTTGAGTCCGCTCTGATTCTTCTTTTTTTCTGGTTTCCTTCTATGACATAAGTTCCACCTAATGGTGCAGCAATAAATCTGCTAGCACATTTGCAAACACCTGGTGCAGAATTCAGTGGTCAGGTTGGTCACTGGAACAAGACTTTTTGAGCATCAAATTACACTAATCCTGGCCCAACTGTACTGGTTGCCAATTACCGGTAGTATCTGAGCCCCATGCAAAGTGCTGGATTGGACCTATAAACCCTTAAGCAATTCAGGACCACTATACTTCAAGTACTGCCTCTCCCCATGTGAACCTACCCAGAACCCTGCCATCAGACCATTCTTTGTGTCAGGAAGGTGGCAACACAGGAAATGGGCCTTTTCAGCTGTGATTCCCTGCTTGTAGAATGCTGCCCCCAGAAATGCTCACATGGTGGCTGTTGCATATCTTTAGACGCCTGGCAAAAACATTCCTCTTCTTGCAGGCCTTTGCCTAAGTAATCATTCTATGACCTTTTAAATGTTGTGGTACTGGGTTTTTGTTGCTGCTGTTACTATTTTATGCAGTTCTATGTTTTTTTTATATTGAAGGGTGGTATGTTTGCATCCGTCTGCCTAGAGCAGGGGTCCCCAAACTAAGGCCTGTGGGACTCATTTATCTGGCCCGTGGCGACCCCCGCCGCCTGCTGCCACCGCCTGCAGTGGCCAGTGCTGCGCTGCTGCCCACTTCTGGGTCGGAGGAGCACCAGAAATAGCTTGTGCACATGTGCAAGCATTATTTGCACATGCGCAAGCGTTATTTCTGGTGCACATCCGGGTCTGAGGAGGCCTGTGCACATGCACACAAGCTATTTCTGGTGCTCCTCCGACCCAGAAGTGTGCCAGAAATAGTGTGCCC